TTATTTATTTTTTGGTCATCTGTCTTTTTGGTTTTGACTGCCATGGACCTTAAGACCTTCTGAGGCCTCGAGACCAAGATGGCAGCATAGGTAAACACCGGAGATTGCTGCCACAAACAACCACTTCAAAAATACAACTAAAAGATGGAACGGACATCACCCAGAACCACAGGAAGGCTGGCTGAGGAGAGACTCTTCAACTAGAAGGAAAGACAACAGCATACCGAGGCTCAGAGGAGGCGCAGTGTGGAAAATACAAAGGTACGAAGGTGCTGGCGCAAAGCGGGCTGGTGGCTGAGGGCGCGGTTGTTGTTTTCAAGCAGGAGGGAGTCTCAGACTCTGAGCTCCAGATCCAGGCGAGTCTCTAGGGACTCAGACTCAAACGGGAGAAGCGGGATTGTCTGGCATCAGTTGGAACGTGAGGGCAGCTTTCTCTCCGAGGTTTGCAGCGGTTGCTGGGGATCTGAGAAGCAGAGCCTCTGGGAACAGGACTGAGAGCAGCCATAACCGCTCCCTCCGCCCGCCCTGTTGAGCCCGCCCCGCCCAAGCCCTGCCCAGAGCCATTTGCCAGATAGCCTCAGGCAAAGGCTAGATTAGCACCTCTCCAGAGGACAGAAGTTTTCCCACAGCAGACACAGCTGATTCTCACAGCCAGTCGACCTGGTGGTCAAATCCCTCTAGTATTAACTACAACAATCAAGGCTTAACTAGAACAAGACTGCGCACAAAGACCACTAGGGGGTGCACCAAGAAAGCATAAAAAATGCGGAGACAAAAAAACATGACAGAAATGGAGGATATAGAGCTAAAAAACGCACTTTTGAGGGCTTGCAATAATGTGCTAGAAGCTGCCAATATACTTGATGAGAGCCTCACGAAATCTAATGAGACCCTGGATGCTATGATAAAGAACCAACTAGAAATTAAGCATACACGGACTGAAATAAAGAATATTATACAGACACCCAATAGCAGACCAGAGGAGCGCAAGAATCAAGTCAAAGATTTGAAATGCGAAGAAGCAAAAAACACCCAACCGGAAAAGCAAAATGAAAAAAGAATCCAAAAATACGAAGATAGTGTAAGGAGCCTCTGGGACAGCTTCAAGCGTACAAACATCAGAATTATAGGGGTGCCAGAAGATGAGAGACAGCAAGATATTGAAAACCTATTTGAAGAAATAATGGCAGAAAACTTCCCCCACCTGGTGAAAGAAATGGACTTACAAGTCCAAGAAGCGCAGAGAACCCCAAACAAAAGGAATCCAAAGAGGACCACACCAAGACACATCATCATTAAAATGCCAAGAGCAAAAGACAAAGAGAGAATTTTAAAAGCAGCAAGAGAAAGAGACTCAATTACCTACAAGGGAATACCCATAGGACTGTCAGCTGATTTCTCAACAGAAACTTTGCAGGCCAGAAGGGAATGGCAAGAAATATTCAAAGTGCTGAATACCAAGAACCTACAACCAAGATTACTTTATCCAGCAAAGCTATCATTCAGAATTGAAGGTCAGATAAAGAGCTTCACAGATAAGGAAAAGCTAAAGGAGTTCATCACCACTAAACCAGTATTATACGAAATGCTGAAAGGTATCCTTTAAGAAGAGGAAGAAGAAAAAGGTAAAGATACAAATTGTGAACAACAAACATGCATCTATCAACAAGTGAATCTAAGAATTAAGTGAATAAATAATCTGATGTACAGAATGAACTGGTGATTATAATGAATCAGGGACATAGAAAGGGAATGGACTGACTATTCTTGGGGGGGAAAGGGGAATGGGAGATGCGAGAAGAGACTGGACAAAAATCATGCACCTATGGATGAGGACAGTGGGTGGGGAGTGAGGGCGGAGGGTGGGGTGGGAACTGGGAGGAGGGGAGTTATGGGGGGGGGAGAGGAACAAATGTAATTTGAACAATAAAGATTTAATAAAAATAAATAAAGAAAGAAAGAAAAGAAAAAAAAGACCTTCTGAGGCCTCATCTTTCCAATGAGAACATTAGAGTTTAGAGAGGCTTGATAATTACCCACTTCATGAAGAAAATTTTAGAATTGAATCCAGGTTTTCCAACCCATATCCCAGTGTTTTTTCTCCCTCATTGCTCCATTCATTAGAGCTATTGATATTAATAGCTCTAATAAATCAATAGCACCAATGAATTTCCCATGCACAATGTCAGCCTTGGCATGATATCCCGTTTATTCCCCCTTTCTAAATGATTTTAAGTAGCTTCTTTGAGTACATAGTTGCAACAATTAAAGATGAGCTTTACTTTTTATCAGCCAATGTTTGTTTGACATCAGTGATTACTACCCTTCTTTCAATTGCTAAATTTCTTTTTCTTGGTGAGTAAAGGCTTAACAAATTGTTTGGCAAAGAACATACACTTCAAAACTATCCAGATACACTGAGCACCAGACAACAGAACAAATTCAGAGACTGAAGAGATGAGCACATCAGTTTATTTCCGTTCTTTGGGAGGAAATGCAGCTTAAGCAGCCTTGACTTTTCATGACATTTGCTTAGTTCTTGAATTGACTGACAAGCCTATTAATGGATTCCCTGAACTTTATTAATGTAATTGGAAAACTGCTCACATGCCAATCAACTTCTAATAAGTAATTATGCTCATAAATATGTAAAATTATTAGCTTTTAATTTGTCCCAAGCACATGCTTTCAACATAGTAACCAATTTTTCTTCTAGAGGAACAAAACGTAATACTGGTAAAACATTCAATGAGTGTGTTCCTAATACGCATTCCCTGAAGTGGTACTCAAAAGTTCACCATCATCAAATGGCCAGCAAAAAAGAATGCCAGAGTAAGGCGTGCAACAGCTTTTAAAATGTGCATAATATTAAACAATCTATGTAACATAAGGTTATAAAGAAATCCTATGGAAATCAAACAAGTTTCTAGGCAGGGCTTATATATCCATAATCTGGTTTAAAAATCTCCTCCAAACATGGAACAAGAAAGAATGAGAAAAAATGAAAGAGGGATATATTCACGTTCTAAAATACATCATTTAAATCTACAATAAGCAAAAATTTTGTATCTCAAGTCACTCAAATATATTATTGTCCAAGTTTACTTTTTCTTACGTAATAAGAATCTTTTGTAGTCTCTGAGCTAGAAACACAAGTCAAAGGGCACTGAACTACACAAGAGAATCAGATTAGGCCTAGATACAGAAGAAATGTGTTTCTGACTTATAACCTCATGTTAGTTTTTGAAGCTGGACAAAATCCTGCCCTCTGGAATCTCTGGATAATCTCTGAATAAAGGTGGGCTTTGGCGAAAAGTACTATCTTCTCCTATGCCTTTAAAGAAGGGGTTTCTGCCGAAACCGGTTTGGCTCAGTGGATAGAGCGTCGGCCTGCGGACTGAAGGGTCCCAGGTTCGATTCCGGTCAAGGGCATGTACCTGGGTTGCGGGCACATCCCCAGTAGGGGATGTGCAGGAGGCAGCTGATCGATGTTTCTCTCTCATCGATGTTTCTAACTCTCTATCTCTCTCCCTTCCTCTCTGTAAAATATCAATAAAATATATTAAAAAAAAAGAAGGGGTTTCTTACAGTTAGCAATGATCATAATAAGAAAAGCCAATGAGAAAATTCACTGATTTAATTCTCCATTATACTTTCTTCCTTCAAGTTAATAGCTTAATTAATAAATTTAATTTTTATCACAGTTAAAATATTTACTAACAATGGAAGTTGTATTTGAATTCAGGTTTACATTTATATAAGGAAATAGATTAACAATCTTTTCCAGATATAAGCCACTTGCATAAATTAACACTTATTAGTCGTGTAAATTATTAGAAGGGTTAACTCGGAGGTAGTACAAATAACTTGCTTACTCAGCATTCCTGTTAGGAATAAAACATGTATTCACTGGCACCACATTATCATACAATTTGTTATTAATTTTACTTAGAAATGCTGCAATGTCATTTTGAGTTCCACAACATAATATTTCTATGCAACCAAACCATGATTAATCTAAAACGCACGAGGAAATAATGTAAATGGCAAAAATATACATTTTCCATTCTATTTGCATTATAATTTCATTTTTCTTCAGAAGCATTTGTGTTCAGAATAAATATGCTCTTACATTTTAGTGTGCAAGAAAAATAACATAATTTGATGATTCTGTTCATATTTGGAGATTGCAAGTTAGCTAGCATGATTTATGATCTACTGAAAGTATGGCAAAGTAGAAAGCATTGTGTACCATATTTTTTCAATTACTCTATATTTAAATTAAGTATTTCTAGAAGGCTGCTTCTTTTCATTGTAACTTTAATCAAAGTAAACAGAAATTGGATTGAGACAGAATGTTGGAAACCTGTGGAATTACTTTTAAAGAGTTATTCTCCATATTTTAAAAAGTTCTAATATTTTAATGTATCCCTCATGGGTTATCAGATATTTATTTTAATGTATCAATCATGGGTTCTCAAAGATTTATTGAAGGGGTAACTCAAAGGAAGATAAGAAGTGAATCATACACAAAAAATCACAATGTGATGTGAATTGATTTTATCTTGGTATGTGGTGATTCATATGACTATAATACCCATTACACTTAATGGAATCTAGGAACATAAATCCTTGAAGACTATGACCACATGTCTTTCAACATTGTCAGTTACTTCTGAATAATTTTGCTATCTAAAGATTGAACATTTCTGCCCTAGCCGGTTTGGCTCAGTGGGCAGAGTGTTGGCCTGCAAACTGAAAGGTCCCAGGTTCGATTCCAGTCAAGGGCACATGCCCAGGTTGTGGGCTCAATCCCCAGTGGGGGACTTGAAGGAGGCAGCCGATCCATAATTCTCTCTCATCATGGATGTTTCTATCTTTCCCTCCCTCTTCCTTCCTCTCTGAAATCAATAAAAATATATTTTAAAAAATAAAAAAAATAAAGAGTGAACATTTCTAAGCATTGTCCCTCCCAGTATAGCAGTTATGGAAATGCATACCTTGCACAGTTAGATGCACCTGCATTGTTCTCGGTGTATGTTGAGTCTGAACAGAACACGTGTATGGGCCATCATCTGTCACATCCACATTTTGTATCTGGAGGCTGTAGTCCCTTTTATTCAATGTTGAAATTGAAACTCGAGGATCCACGGACCACTTATCACCTCCCGCAAAAATAATACTTGACCGGTTCAGCCAGGCACCCTTTGAAGCTCCATCTTCCAAATAACACCTACAAATTACCAGAGACAGAACACTATTAATCAAATGAAAATGAGAGACATTATCTTTGTTCTGACTGTATTCTCATCTGATGAATTATAGCACTTCATCACATCCTAACATCAGACATAAACACGGGAAACATGAACACACTGGTAGGTCTCCATTCCCAATACAAATGTGAAACAATACCTGCATACAGTTTTGTTTTGTGAGAGCATGTGTGAGTGTTTTCATTGAAAGCCAGTCAAAATCAGTTTTCATTCTTTCTGTGTGACAAGTAAATTTAATAAGGCTAAATTAGTTCATATAACAATTTCTGACATTAAAACACATTCTGTTCTTTGAAATAATAAATAGGAAAGGTGTACAAGTGAGCCTCTTTCAACCCAATCCAATTCTGAATATAATGTACCAGATGCAGAAAGCAAAGCATAGAATAGTACCATATACATGTTTATTTTTAAAATCTCCTGCATTTTCAGAGTGGTAAGTTTGCACACTAAAATTATAAACTGCATTTCACTGATAATATTGCTGCTGTAATTAAATGTAGCAATTTTAGTAGTAAATTTTTGCTGCCTTTTCAATGAACTGACCAGCAGTTTTTCCAGGTAGCATTCATTTATTCAATAAACATTTATGAAGCATCTACTACTTATGGGTTAAAAAAAAAGATATTATCCTTGCTCTTCTAAATGTTTAGTCTAGTAAGGAAGACAACCAAACAATGTAGTTAATACTGTACATTAATAAAAAATAATGTTATTAATTCAAGCTAAGATCCATGAGAGACAAAAGAGGGTTACTTGACTCAGTAAGGGTGTTGGGGTATAGAAAATGGCTTTCTGAAATAGGATAGGATAGAAAATGCCTGAGCTAAAGCAGTGAGATTTGGAAGATATAGCCTTTTAGACAGAGGTGCTATACATGGGCAACACCAGGGAAAGGTGAGAGAAACAGGCATTCCCAGGATGTACAAATAAGCATGAGCTATAAGGGAAAGATGAGAGAGGCAACTGGAATGGTAAACTGGAACCAGAGGATGCTGATAGTAAGCATGATGACAGTAGATTTTGAGGCCAAATTTGAAGCCATTTATTCAAAGTTGTACTCTGTAACAAGATTCAACTATATAGCTTTGACTCTAATAGAAGTCGGGCACATCAAGACTTAGAACAGAAGGCTCTGGTCATATGTCAGTGATTTTGCTGAGGCCTGGAATTCTGTTTCATCTGGAAAACATTCTGATACAAATTAAAGACTGGTTCTCTTAAATGAGTACAAAGCGCAGCTACAGAATGAAAATACACACACATCGAAATAGTTTGACAGCATTTCGACAGAACACCTTGGGGGACTGAACACAGTGGTTGAGATTGCTCCAAAATTGCAAGCTGAATGCAGCAGGGGTAGGTTGCTGCCAACTGCATGAAACTAATCAGTGGGGGGAAAAATAAGGAACGGGGTACATTGCAGAATCTCATTTGTAGTCAGCTTCACCATCTACAGAATCCAAACTAGTGGAAGTCATGAAGGTCACTGTTCATTGAAAAGTTTTTCTTTATATATGTAATGAAGAAAATAAAACCCACTTTAATGATATAATTAAACAATTATAGTGTATTTCTATTCTTTTAAATATGCAGAGAGAAGATAGAGGATGCCTATTTCCCATTTCACAAGATCGCATTTATACTTTTGGGTACAATACTAACACCACTACTAGGGTTGTGATAATTCCAACGTTTGTATTTACCATCTGGATTTGTGAAGTTTATTGTGTGACCTCTCCACTCATGGCCTTCACACATTATCTGGTGCTCATAACAACCCTGTGGTGTATGGATTGCTATGTCTAATTCATCACCAGGAAATAACTGGAGCTTTGGTTATATGACTTGCCCTAGCCACACCAGTAGTGAGTGGCAAAGTTGAATATATAATTGAGTCAAATATTTCTGCATCCAATGCCCTTTCCACCATAATGCATGCAGATCAAAGACTTTTCAAATAGGTTTCAGAAATGGGAAGATGATTAGAATGTTGCAGATATTACTGCAAGTAATTTCTTATTTACTGAATATGACCGACTACTTAACCTGTCCGATTCTAAAGGAAGCATAACATTAATTATTAATGGATATTTGACCATGAAAGTCTGATTTTGAACACTCTGCTCTGCATTTCCCTCTCCCTAGAGGCAGAAGCAGCTTTTCCTTTATGTGGGGTGTATGAGAGAACCACGGAGATTAACTAGCCTTTAGACAGGAGCGCTTTCATAGACCTGATCTAGGTTGTAACTTCTAGTCTTAGCATAAGCACTGTTCCTCTGTTCTGGCATGTCAGGGACCATCAGGAAGAATAGAAGTTATGTTCTACTGTGAAAGTGAAAAAATGAGCCCTTATGTCCTCTGGGTTTAGGTAATTATATTTCATAATTGCTATTGGTCCCAACTCAAAGCTTTTGAAGACATACATTATAAAAATCCTCAAATGAGTCTCAGAAAAAAAGAAGAAAAAAAACCCCACATTTTTTTGTATTATTTCCTCAGATTGCTGCATAATTATTATCAAATTATACTACTGAGTTAGAACTTAAATAACTCGACTATATATGGATTTCATAAATTGGAAGTAGCAAATCTTTCTATTTCATAAAATCATAAGATACTTATATAGAGTTTATATATTTTAAGGTCAACTATGAGATGATTATATAAAATATATGAAATATGCCAAACAAATAAATCTGATTCCTTGAGAATAATACCTATGTCCTCTACCTCCACATTCACCCTAATTTTTTCCCTTTACAATACAAAGGATTCTGCCTGGCATGCGTGTTGTATTAAGAAAGAATTCTGGAGGGAAGGAAGGAAGGTATGAACAGAGCCAGTCAGCTTGAACTCTTAACTGTGGTGATAGACTATGCTATGCATTCTTAGAGTCAGACATCAGCAAGGGTGAGAGATTCTACCTGTTTAGGATGGAGTAATTCTTGTGTGAGGGAGAGGTTGGTGAAACAAATATAGTCATGTAATTAATGAGAGCAGGATAAAGCCATAATTCTAGGTAGCAAACTCAGATCTTTTTATCCTCTCCAGATTTCTAAATGGAACATTTTAAGAGCCAGTGAGCTTAGGATCCCTGTAAGTATAGATAATAAAATAATAATAAAAATGTTTAATAATGAATACATCCTTTAACAGAGTATGGCATGAATTTTCTTGAAAGTGTTTTTTTTTTATTTCTTTTTTTTAAAAAAAATCTTCTCCATTATCTACTTTATAGGGAGATGAATAAGCAGTTCAAAAATACACTCCTCAGCATAAGCTGTGTTAGCACCATGACAAATACTTCAATTTTCAGTCAATCATCCGGATGTTTTGTATACATAGTTCCAAACATCTGGTTGTTAGAAATATGACAGCTATGTGGGGAGGATGGGTGAAGGGATGAGGAAAAAAAAGAGAAAGAACCCACTGACCAGGACAACAGTGTAGTGATTATGGGTGGGTGGAGGCAGAACAGGGTATAGGGAGAATAAATGATGATGAAAAAAAATAAAATTTAATTTAGTTTCATAATTTTTTTAAAAAATAAAGAAAGAAAATAGCTGGAATATTTATTTTGTTTCACGATTGTTAATTATATCAACCCAACTTTGGATTGATAAAATTAACCCAAAGTTAACGCTTTTCTAATCAGAATTGCATTTACTTCTGAACTCTCTGAAGGAGCTCCTTTATAAATGACATTACCACATATTAGCAGGTCCCTATTTTGGGAGCAATAAGTTCTATTTGGTATGCTGCTAGTTGATCAAACTGATGTTGGAATATTCTAACTGACTCTGTCTGTGATATTATCACCTGTGGTGATTAAATATGAACGTTGGACCTCAGAGAGTTTAGTAGAAATTAGCATACTTAGGTTATTTATTATTTTTTAAAGCTCTATTAGGGAAAAAGCCTATGGCTGCTGAGGAATGATTTGTTTCACTTTCATATCTCTAATGCCCTATAACACGTTCCAAAAACATAATCCTTAGCACCATTACCAGTACGCTACACACCAGGATTTATTCAAGTTTATGGAAAGAGACCAGCTTTTCTCTAGACATGGTGATTAATGAAAGTTCTCATCAAAGGTACTAACTAAAAAAAGAAGAAAATTTCTTTTATTAATTTCCCTTGGATTCAAAACTATGCCATGTGAAAACAATATTGCTGTGAAGTAACTGGCTAGCTACCTTCATGGCTGTCTTTTCATGGTATCACAAAGTTCTAAATTTGACAGGAGAACTTTTAAAAGAATACAGAGAAAATAAAATAAATAAATTCAGAACCCATACAACCTCCATGCTAATTCTTGCATGCAAAGAGAGCATTGATATCCTGAAGTCCAGGCCACAATGAAAGGAAGTAAAGTATAGATTAAAAGAAACAGAACAAATTCTATCTCTCTTTTGCTTGTCTTTATTTTTAAGGCAATCTCTTTCTTAATGTCTTTCATGCCAGTTATTCACTTGATAACATCACAGGTAGACATAAACATAGAGATAGAGATGGAGATGGAGATAGAGATAGAGATGATAGAGATAGAGATAGATATAGAGATAGAGATCAATGTATATGAATATAGATAGACATGTGTATACATATATACATAAATAATTTTATGATTATATATTTAATATTTTCCAGATAATAATATCATTATATATAACATAGTGGTTGACTTAATACTTTAAGTTCTCTTTTACTACTATTATGACAAAATCTTATTTGTAGCAGAAACAATTATTGTTAACTTCTATTTCTTGGCAGGTGTAGGAGGTATAAGACTTTGTCAAGGAAAACCCACATAATCAACAGTTTGTCCAAATGAGCTTCAGTTACTTAATTAAGTACTCGTGCCTTCTAAATAATGAGAATTGCATTTTAAATAAATACCTATGTAAAATGTACTTGTGCAGGTAACAGCTAAATACTATTATGTAGAAAA